CCAAAAGGCATATGTTAAGTCCTAAATCGGCAGAAGTGTAGGGCAAAGAACAGTAAAAACGACAAGCTAGAATGACATCTCGATCCTTCTTCAAGATAACAGTAATATTGAACAATCGGCCAAGAAGAAACGAATGAAGCTTCGCCTATGTACCCCACAACTCCTATGCATTTATATTCCTAACATTTAAACTTTCAGTTTCTACACACGTGTCACCTTGATTTTATGTATGAAAATAACTTTCGTTAGATATGTAGATATGTAAGAATTGAATTTTTATATACCGCAAAGATCCTTTTTATCATATCAAATAAACTCTTAAAATTGGAAATGTAATTTTTCGTGCACAATGTGGCATATAGGTAAACAAATTTAAGTTTGGACATTAAATTTGTAAATGAAACTTAGGTGTGAGATACGTAAACGTACAAGAATTCGATGACACGTATGTAGACATTGAAGTTTAGGTATCAGATATGCGCATGTATGAAAATTGTGTGGTACGTATGTGAATTTCCTTAACAAAAATTGCCCTTTTGTAGGTGTTTGAGAACATAACACTAAATAGAAACAATCAATGGTATGGCTTGTTGTAGCATTATAGAAATGGGCATGTCATGTCAAAACTAAGGGATGAACTGCCCAACTTTCAAATTCAATGTACTTTATAAAGTAATCACACACAATATTATAATTCTCAAGAGACAAAATTTATAATGATAAATCACTGCCTAAAGAACATGTGTCATTAAATGTGCATAAGGACTAATGGGATTCAATACGATTCACTAAAAAAAAATTTATCAAAGTTATGCAGCCCATAGATGATCATCTTTTGCGATCAAATGTAAGTAGTTACAAATTCCAAGAAGACAAATCCTACTCAGTCTATGGAAATTTCATAGAAAAATTCTTTGATTTTTCATACAAAAGTTGTTGCTTAAGTCCTTTTTAAAAAGGGCTGATTTGAGTGTTGTTTTGAAAATGTTGTTATGGGTTTATATGGGTATGATTTGAAGGTTTTAGAAATGCTGATTTGGAGTGTTTTAGAGTGTTATTGGGTGCTGAAATTGTAGTTTAAGCCGCTTGAGGTAGCTTACAAGTGCTGAAATGTTGTTTGGGGCATTTTGTGGGCTAATTCTGGCATGGTTTTAACACCATTTGGGCACCATTTTAGCACTGTTTCGGAGCTGATTTTGAGAGTTTTGTCTATTGTTTTGGGGTTGAGTTTAACAACTTTATTTACGATTTTGAGGTTGGATTTGGAGAACTTTATCTACTGTATTGGGGTTTTACTTAATTATCATTTAAATGTTTTTTTTTTTTAGGTCGATTCACTTGTTGTTTTCCCCCTTTCAGCTTTGCTAGTTTTAGAGGTGGGTCGACCTCTTTCTTATTTTGTTTTGTTTATTTTTAAATGGTTAAGTCATAAAGATGGAGATTGATGATTTAATTAATTGTAAGATATAGAAAACCTTGAATCACCTTAAGCATAAGTGAAAGAGTATGTTTCCTAGAGTTTCAGAAGCACACCCTAGGTGAGAGTCCATTCACCTAGCCCTCAATGTAGGTTTCCTAGATTTTAGGTGCACACCATAGGTGAGAATCCACTCACCTAGCCCTAAGTGTAGGCTTCCTAGACTTTAGGAGCACACCCTAGGTAAGAGCCCATCTACCTAATCCTCAGCATAGTCTTACTAGATTTTAGGAGCACACCCTAGGTGAGAGTCCATCTACCTAATCCTCAGCACAAACTTCGTAGATTTTAGGAGTACACCCTAGGTGAGAGTCCATCCGCCTAATTCTCAGCACAGACTTCCTAGATTTTAGGAGCACACTCTAGGTGAGAGTCCATCCACCTAATTCTCAGCATAGACTTCCTAGATTTTAGGAGCACACCCTAGGTGAGTGTTCATCCACCTAATTTTTGAATGAATAATGAAACTATGCACTTGAGTCTGATTCACAAACTGATTAAGACACTAGACATGATGCACCGAGACGTAGTTCATGCTTCCTTAATTAAATCAACAGTGAAATTCCCGCAATGACTTAACCTACAATGAAACCCAGTGCACCGGAATTTGAGTTTGGATATTACACTCAAATTCTCCTGGCAATTGGGAAAATTTGTTAATGTCACATATGGATCATCGGACAATGATAAGTCTAGGGGCTAAGGGTCCGTTTGGGGCAGCTTGTGCGTTTCAGGATAAGCTGCTTATCCTGGGATAAGCTGGCGAAAAGCGCGAACCAAACGGTATGGCGGCGTTTTGAAAACGCCGCCCGCACTTATAAGCTGCCCCAAACGGACCCTAAGTGACGTGAGCGATGACAACATTGTTTATGTGTGCTTAAACGAGAGATATAAAGTGAGAGGATCTCCTACCTCAAGGATCTTCAATAAGGGAGAGGAAAAGATCTATGATACTATTCGTCAATTCTTGGTAGGATCGTTACCCCCGACATTCTTAGGATGTCAGTAGTTCTAGCACGATTAGAGTGACTAGTTTGTGGACTGTACGACTTTACAAAATATTTATAAAATATTTATAGAAATAAAATAAAAATTTCTTTTGCATGATTAAAAGAACTCTGCATAAAAAAGACTTAAACAACAACTTTTGTATGAAAAATCAAAAAAAATTTCTATGAAAATTTATAAAGGTCAACGGCTAGTCACTGGATTGAGGTTAAGGACTGTCTTCTGTATATTGTTGGGCTAGTAACTCTTGTTCAAGATCGGGAAGCACACAACCCAGCTCTGAGCCCCCCACTTTTACCAATGTCTTATACTCAGTCCTGATATTTCATATGTGGCTAAGGGTTTTTTTTTCTCGTGATTTTTACAACTCATTTTTCTGACTTTCGCGTTGGGTTTTCTCGCCTTGTTTAATTTTCTTGAAATTTTATTTAAATCTGTTGCAAATCATAATATGCTCGCAACATTAATAGCGCAACAGTAGCAAATGCTCAGGTACGTTTTTACAGTTTATCTACAGCATTTTACTTATCTGCGATTTGTTTATTCTGCATGCAAAACCAAAACTGAAATAAAACAAAACCAAACATTCACCAAAACTGTGAAATATAAACTACCAATCTCAAACACTTAAACCCTAGAGTTGTCACGGCGACAGAAATTTGGAGCCAACTTTGTAGGCAGCACGGCGAGGAATTCAGACCGAACAGCAATACAAGCCTTCACCAGATAAACTTTCCTAGTTTAAACAACCCATAGGACTTCGGGTAGTTTACCTAGCGCGGCGTGAATCCTCACACTCTCTTTTTAGGCTCATGTACAATCATGTTGTGCAGCGTAAGTCCTAATCCGCCTTAGGTTCCGAGATTGTCGTGTGACACGACGTAAACTCTCTTATTTCTGCGGGCTATTTTTATAATCGAGTATTATGCATATGTAAGTCTCAAATAATAAAATTGGCAGGATTGAACAATTGAATAACATCATTTCTAAAAATGCAGCCACACAGTAGGATAGTTTGGGAAGTCACTGAGGGTTCTCCTCAGGATCTGTGACATCCTCTACCTTTTCTTTTCTTTGGACTCCTGAAATAAATGTTCTTTTTTGAGCCACTCTCACTTGCTTTTCCACGTCCTACCGTGAAAACCTAAACTTTAAAATTTTGAAGACTAATACCTCTAATTATTATCGAGAGTTTTCTCAAGTAACCTCAGTCATTTGAGATATAACTATAGGGGTTTGCCGCTATATGGAACTTGAAACTCAGGTAAAATAAACTCTATTTAATCTTTGTATTAGATCTTTGTATTAGATTTAATCTTTGTATTAGATAGGGGAACTTATCGGTCACACATAAAAGGTTCGCAGACCAAACGGATGTCACAAATCTCTTAGTTTGCAGGATTGGGTCTATCGTCGAGGTTTACACTTATCTTTTGGGAAGTTGTAGTATTCGCGGTATCGGGCACGATTATGCAAACCATTGGACTAATGAGATCCATTTGGTCTTATTTTTCAAAAATTAAAACAAACTACTTTTAAAACTCAAACTATATATCTATTATATTAAATTAAATTTCAAAAATTATTTTTCCTATATTTTCTTATTTTCAAATCACAATAAAAAAAGTTGACCGACACCAACTGGAGAGGGTCGACCGACCAACTGGAGAGAGTCAACTGGAGAAGATCGATTGGAGCTGGCTAACTGGAGAGAGTCGACTAGAGAGGGTCAACTAGAGCTCTTCAAAGCTTGGTCGAGTTAAGCATGTTTTTTGGACAATCTCAACGCCTTAAACCATAAAAGAGGATTTCTATCATACACATTATCTATTTTTCATGTGCATTTGCATGAAAATATTAATATAAAACTTAATTTTAACCTTGACAAGTAAAATTCTTCTAAAAATGTCAATTGGATATAAGTGAAATTCAAACTAGGCAATAAAATGATAATATCCCAAAATCCTTAACTCCAATTGAAATCCTTAAGATATAATGATAGGTAACGCATAGTGCCAACCTAAAAGAACTCTTACTGAAATGCTTAAGATATAATGACAAGTGACATATAGTAAAAAACCAAAGTTCACCTTGCGTTCATGAAATATGCAGTCCTAGTAACAACGAAACACATCAAAGAACACAAAAAGAGAACTTAAAGTGCACATCAAGAATAGATTGATTACAAGCAAATAATTAAACAACTATTCAGTCAGATGAATGTAGTCACAAATTTTGAACCTTATATAAAATTTTCAACTATAAACTTTCTGAAAAAGTCAACGAAAAATTTGAAAAGACTGATCAAAATATCAGAAGAACATACTGACAATTTGCTTAAAATTCCTACCATAAATTGTGTCCCAAGTTCAATTTTATTAGAGAGCAGAATAAATACAATGCTCGCATTAAATAGTCTCTGCTTCAATTTGAATATAAAGCATAATAAACACACAGCTCCCAAGTCAAAGTGAAAAAGGAAATATAATACCAAAACAAAAATATCACTACTCACATTTTCTTTTAGGTAGTCATTAATCGCTGTCAGCTCTGAAAGCAAAGCTTGCTCTGTCCCATCATTGGGGTCTTTGCATTTAAGAAAAGCAATAAAGGACGAAAATATTTTTGAACCACTACAAGGTGAAGCATAATGTATGGATAAATAAATATTAAACATACAAACAAAACTAATTTGAATATGCCTCTCATAAGAAGAAATTAGCAAAGAAGGTAACGTGAGACCATTCATTTCTGCATAATGATCTAGAGTTTCGAGAGAAAAATGGATCAAAAAGCAGGCAGTGCACTACGCTATAGAATTTAATGCTTTTCTATCAGCTTCTAGATGCAAAATAAATTAAATAACATTTGAAATTAAATCGCTAAAGACAAAGGGAAAGAAAAATAGAATAAGACACTAAAGCACTTGAAAGAGCTTAATCCATACATTACTAATAGATTCTATTCTTATACTAAAAATCATCTTGTGCTGTAGATAACTGCATGTACCGCTTGATGATTATAGTAGCAGCAAAATGAAAGCGAATTAAGATAGATCGAAGAGAGGAATGTGGAATGCAACTTTTTTGGAGGGGAAATTTACATACAACATATTTCGTATGTATTTACATATCTAAAACCTAAAGTTTAAATTTTACATTTATAACACCTTGGTGTCAAAAACCTAGTGTATTTCACTTTTAAAGAACTTAATTATAGAGGTATTTTTTATATAATATTAAAAAAGTGAGTGTTATCTATTTAAATATGAAAGTTTAGGTATTAGATATGAACAGACATAAGGATTGTGTGCTGTGTATGTCTTTACATATCTAACACCTAAAGTTGGATATTTACATTTATAACTCTTGGTGTCATAAACCTATGCCTGAAAATATGTATTTGTCTTTTGACAAGTTAATTATAGTGGTATTTTTTTATGCAATATTAAAGACTTTTAGTGTTATGCATGTAAATATGAAAGTGTTGGATATGTAAATACATAAGAATTGTGGTATGTAGATAAATACGACCCTCCTGCCCCCAAACCTTCTTTTTTCACATGCTAAGTGGAAGTACAAGCTAGACATATCTAGAAGCCAAGCATATTTTTTTAAGAAGACATCTCCAGCAGCTCTGTAATTGCTAATGCCCGACTAATAAAACTTAATGATGTAATTAAACTATAACTCTGCTTAAACTGACTGCAAACCCAGCAGCCAAATCCCTTAACAAGAAGTTAAACTCATGTGAATCAAGATTGGATGCTAATAAAAAGCAAGACTGAAAAAATATAACCTTGGGTAATGTGGATAACTAAAGATAGCTCACTTCAATTAGCCATTTCTATGCTGACTAGAAAATATTAAAACTTGTAATGCTCTACAGTTCTTGATGAATCACTAAAAAAATTTAAAATTTCTGAAAATAGAGAAAATGGATTAGTTTTTTAATCACCAAGACTAATGCTACATGTTAATCGACGATAATAATCAATATATGCAGGAATGGATATATTTTAAAATTCATGTAGCGTACACTGAAGACTTCTCGAGAGGAGTAGCCAAAGATGGCTCCGGATATTTCTCTTCAATTAATTGAGTGATTATATCAGAATCAGCAATCCACTTGTCATCAAGTTTGGCAACGGGAACCTTACCTTCAGGACTAATTTTTAGAAACCTATAGTATGAGGTACAATGAGATTAGCAAAGATAAAGCTGTTGAGTTTCAAAATTGTGTAAGGTTTACAATTCCAGGGAAAGAAAAGATTAGATACCATTCTGGCTTATTTACTAGATTAGCTAGTTTAATGTCATAAGGTAGATGTTTCTCCTCCAGAGTCAACAGAACCCTCTGTGAAAAGGGGCCTGAAATTTTACAGAAACCATATATTCATTCCCTCAATAATGGCTAATGAGCACGAGCTAAATTAATTAAAAAGTTCAACATTAAATCAGGCAGTTCAATAGACAAAATAAAAAAATTTCCTCCCAAATAAAAGCAATTCAGCGCATAAAGATCATTTACTTATTCTTTATCCCCTTAATGATGTGATGTTGAGTAAATAAAGCATGATATAAAATGCAGGAAAAATAAAAAAAAATTGGATTTTGATTAAAGATTAACATATCAATAAAAGAATAAAATGTTGCTTTGAAAAATTATTGGAAGAGTTCCAAAAAGAATTTATGAAAGAGTATAATGAATAATACAATGAACAATATCACAAATTAATCTACAAAAATTGAAGAAGAAAATAAAGGCAAGGCTTTAGAAACAAATGAGGTACCAATTAAGATTTTCATTTCCAAAGTGATGTGGGAAATTGCATAGATTTGACTAGCAAATCTTTTCAAATAGAAGGTTAAAAACTGAAAGATGTTGAATTATTAGACAAATATCTTGTTGTTAAATAATAATAAAATATATATTTAAGATTATACAAGCTATAAAGCAAGCAAACATATGAGTCATATAATGAAGCTATGGGGTAGAATAATAGAACATAATGTTAAAAATTTGCGTAAGTTTCGGTGAATCAATTTGATTTCATGCCAGAAAGATTTAACGAATCAATTTTTTATGTTACAACAGTTAAGAAAAAGTTGAGCAAGCATGTTGAATATAAAAGACATTCAAAGTGAGATGTTAATGTACATGATTTTATAGATATGATTCTAATTAGTGAGCCATCCATAAATTTAGTAAAATTAGAACAAATAAGAAAATATTTAATAAGTGGATAACATAGAATTAGTAGAATAAAGACGAGTATGTAACATGTATTTTTAGTGAGCTTAAAATTAACAATTAATTAATCAATTTTATTAGAAAATAAACCAATACCTAATTTTGATAGGTTTAAATATGTTGGGCACATTAAAAATATACTTTTCTACAATATCAAATTATATTTGTTGGCTGTAATTTTCTATGAAGTATTGAAAATTCACCGACAAAAGGTTAAAAAATTATTGAATGATATCAACTTCTATACATACTAATGTCAAAATTTAGCGCGTAGATAGAAGTCGAACTTCCTTGCTTAATTTTTGTCAAGGGCTTCAAGTGGGGTCATGAATGAACATAAAGATAGGCGTTTCTGATATAAGCTATTTTGTGATAAATTTATAATTGATATTTTTAAATTTATTTTTAATAAATATAAATTAACTAAAAGGATATTAAATAAATTAATATTATTTGTAACTGGAAAAACTAAAAAGTTATTATTTTATTAAATGCGATCACGATAGATTCTAAGAAAAAAATTATACTAAGTTCTTTATGTTGACAATAATAGTTTATCTGATGAAAAATTCCATCAATGATATGTGGATGACTAATGAAGAGCTTCAAAACATCTCCCCAACCTTAAAGATGAATACAACTTAAATCCTTAAAGGAGAGTTTTTCACACCCCAAAAATTTTGCTAACTGTCCAATCCAAACATATGTTTGACCATGGCAATGAGATTAATTAAATGTTTTGTTTATCTATTTAACATTTTCTATATTAGGAATATTTAGATTTTGATTTATTAGGTTTATATTCGAATTTTTCCAATAAATAACTCGAAGAATGGATTTTAGGCATCCATGTCAATAGCACCATTTAAAGTTTGCCTCCCACCTCAACCCTAATCTCAATTATTAAGCAAATTATATAAAATAAAATACTAGGTCCAACGGGAGAACAATATCAATTTATTTCATGGAGAGATCCACCATCAAATACTTATGCGTGACTAATAAGGAGCTTCGGTGCATTTCCCTCTCACCCTTTTGAGTAACTCTCCAAAAAAAAGTTCTTCACATGTCATAAAAGTTATGGGATATGCTTGACCGAAACATATAATTGAAATATACAACGGCATTAATTAAGCATTCCATTTGTTTGTTTAGCATTTTGTATTTTGGCAATATTTGAATTTTAATTTAATAGGATTTATTTCTCCATTTCTTTATTATTATAATATGTTTTCTACAAAATGCAAAGCTTCATTATTTGTTTGAACCCTAAAGTTCCTTTCATTATGAATAAGGACTCGGAAGGCTAAGTTAAACCATTGATTGAATATTAATCATAACTTAAGAATGTTTTGTTTGAGCCAGGGTTCTTCTTTCCTCCCTCTTTTTCTCTCTCTCTATCTCTCTCTATCTCACATCACTTCCCTTAATAGTTTGAGCTCAAATTTATGAATCCTAATTTTTTATTTTTTCATGTTGATTATTGCAAGAAGATTAAATTTACACATCAAAACAAATTTAATAATTTTTATTCGTTACTTAGGTTCATCCCTTTTACCTAATCCTTTTACAATAGTTTTAACTACTAGTTAAATGACAATTTATTGAAATTTTCTATTCTTCGCTATGCATGTTCAAACCAAGCGAGTCCATATTCAACTAGTTATCTTCAATAGGCACTACTTCAACCATCTAATAACTTTTCTAGCACCTGAATTAATACATCGTAGTCGACTGCATTTTTATGTTAGGCCCCCATAATAATCTTGGTTCCCATGAAACGCTATAGGCAGTTTTTATAATCATCCACCAATCCTTAACTTTAGAAATTACATCATCACCCATATAATAGACTCAATTTATTTAAACTTATCACGCATAAATGTCACTTTTCTTCTAATAAATTGATTAATAATTATTCATATCAAATCTACTAAAATGACAAGCACTCAATTTTTACCACTTTCAAGCATTTTATCGTCTAAATATTTTCCCTATTATTCTAGCTTTTAGAATGTATCATTTATTAGCTACAATAAAAAAATAATATATAATTATATATCTTAAAATAATTTATAATTAGTTAAAATTTGATCAAATAACCTTCATTGCAACCAACAAAACATTAGGATATCTAGTTCAATAGCAACAAATCATAAAACTATCAAACAAACAAAGAGATTAATAAAACTACCAGACAAACAAATTATATTAATAAAGTAACCAAGTACCATATTTAGTCCCCGCTTAAGATTATGGTGTCAATTTGGGATTATAGGTGGGGTTCAAGTTCAACCTAACTCGAACAAGAACATAGTCAACTCAAATCTAGCCCATTATTAAAAAGGTTAAACATCTCAACATGAACTTAATACAATAAAACATGAACTGGACCCCACCCAATATGACAAATACTAAGTCATGATATTTCATGTTTACTCAACCAAAAATAGACATAATCATCTAATTTGGACACAATATAAAAACAAAAAAATATAATTAAATATCATTATTGTAAAAAATAATAGTTAAATAATTAATTTATTATTTTTTGATTTATTCAATAAACCAAATCATAGTATTTTTTAAGTCACTTAAACTAACCCGAACCCAATACAACCATTACACCAATTCACAAGAACCTAAATTTCTCGTGCCAAATTCAAATCAAATTTTGTGTCAAGTCTAATATTAAAACCCCCAAAACAAGGGTATATAGGGCTATAAAAAGAAATTAAGGTATTATTTAGTTGGAGGCATTAAAAGTGAATGGCAAATGAAATATAGTGGTTTTAAAATTTTCGAGTTTGGATGAAAAAAATAATAATCCATAAAAATTTTGAGAGAATTAGAATCTCTCTTTAGTTCATTTTCAGTGTATTTGGAATTAGTAAATTCCAAATATACTGAGACATTAAAGAATGACAAGTATCACATTCCTTAACAATACTAGCAACCTTTGCAACCTTCTCCATGTTGGTGACCCCCGCAATGCCTCTATCTTGACCTCAACACCCGACACTACTTCAACCTCTAAGCACTCAATCGCTACTCGCCGCTTACAAGAGCCACCCGTACCTCAGTCCCTATAACCTCTAGACATAAAACTTACATATGATTCCAATCCCTCTCTGAGCAATCTCCGCCGCTCTCAGTGCCCTAGGTTATTTCTTTTATTTAGATTCATTTTGCTTCAAACCAAATACGAAAAAAGTAATCTTATAAATTTGTAAACAATTCTAAATAATGCAAATATATTATATTTAATCTAAATTTCATTTAAATTACTCTTGAATCATAAATACTTGCAACCACACAGCCTCTAAAAAACAAAGAAAAATGAGGTTGAAGATAATAATAATAATAAAGCAAGAAGAAGAGAGAATGAAAATGAAGAGATGTTATCCAAATGATTGTCTTAATTTGAGTCCTTATAATTTCTATCTTTCTTCAGAATCAAGAGAGATTGTGCCTACAATAGAATCTAGCAATCTATAACCCATGATAATTTAAACATCTTGCAAAGCATGCTCATTTTTCCATTGAATTGATTGCCATCAAGAGGGAAATTCTTTGTGTAGAGTTCTTCATGTAACCCATATTTATGAGCGTCTAACTAGCGAATGCGGTCAAACTTTAAGAGAAGTGATTCAGTCATGCATAGAATGAAACCTGAGAAAGAGGGGTTGGAGAAGATTCAATAAGAATATCCAAGAAAGCAATTTGAGATAGAAAAAACAACCATAATAAAAATGAGATGCATTAATCAAATAAAAAACACAAGATACAAGAGTTTACTACTCTCGCAACCAATCTAAATATATAGTTCACCACTCGAATGATTTACGAAAAAAGATATCCAGGATATCACCACGATAAACAGAGGGATACAGTTTCTACCACCCAATATTGTGGATACAGGCTCGTCCTCATCCATAAACCACAAAGAGAGCACAAGCGCTCACAAAACTCAAATGAATAAAAGACTACTAATATAATGAAAGACCACATTTATAATCAACAAAGGTCCTAAACCTAATAAAAGAAAACAGATGAAAATACCCTCATTACTACTAGGAGTGGGTGGCAACTCTAGCTCTAGAGAGAAATTTGATCG